AGACTACGCCCTATTTTAAAATTGAAAAAAAAGTCCTTGAATATTTGTTACGCAATGCGTGAATCACGTGTGTGTTTGTGATAATCTTTAGAAATATGTCGTCATTGGTTACATAAAATTTGAATACTGAAATGACAGATTGACAATTACACTGGTGAACAATGAGCCTTTGTTTACTTGTCTCTTATTACCCTCCAAGCCAGCAGCTCCCCCAAAAACAATCGTTGACATGTCTTACATGTACAACCTAAATATCTGTATCAGGTGGTGAATATATTTATGATTGTCTAGAAGTAAAACCAAAATAAGTAAAAAAGATTGATCATAAAAAAAACGTGAAATATATACTAGTATAATGCAAAGCATGCTGGGAAATGATATGGTCTCTGCTGTCACTCTATTTCGGTACATCTTTATTCCAAAACATAATCTTCTCCATCTACCACGACACAAAGTATATTTGTATTTTTGTGCATGAAAATCGAGATATGCATGGTGAGATAAAGGGAGGCTAATAATTCAAAATACAGAAATCAAGGCGAGGAGGTAATACCGTAAATGAATAATGAAACATTTCCCCCACCATTATTATAACATGAAAAGTATTACATACAATTATGTTGTTAATGTTATATATGTATATACTGCATATTGTAAGGAACATAATAAACAGCTCTAACACTTTATTTTCGTTATTGAGATGATTCAGTGAAAATATAATCTAGCGGAAATATCTTTTATTCTATTTTTCACATTCAACTCACTAAAAATCGGTGAAAATAAATTCCATACAAAACACCCTTTCAGCGAAATTAATTCCAGCTAAAATAAAGTATTTTACAGTAACTATTCATATGCCACCTCTTGAACTAGCAACATGGTGTTTTTCAGGGCTCTTTTACGGAAGAAATGTTCTTGTAATGAGTTCCAAAGAAGAGTATCACTGTATATTATATAGACTGGCAAAGTCGGGACTTCTTTTTTTGTATTTGTTCTTTTATTCCTTTTCAGCATGATCGCGAAAACTGACCTGACCGCCAAAGAAATCCCGACTGGACGCATCTGCGGGCATTTGACTGTCATTGATTATTCATGATGCATTGATTATTCATGGTGGGTGGGTGAAAGTAAACATGGCCTTTTAAAGGTTGATTCGATTCGATCGCAGAGATGGATACTTTAACGTTCTAAGTGCGGAGGCGATACTTTCATCCATGTTTAATAAAAACAAGTCGATTTAAATGTCCAATGTATATAAGAAGTCTTTTTTTAAATCGACGGGACCTAGGAAGTGAAAGGTCACGTACATTAAGTAGATAAGATATGACGTAAGCAGCTGCAACCTGATTTGTTGTCAATGCTAGTCAACAACTTTTAATTGGCATAATCACCGGAGTGTTTCCGCTCCGGTTTTCACTCAAACGCAGGGGGTCGCCTGCAGATGCGTCCAGTCGGGATTTCTTTCGCAGTCACGCTAGTTTCGAGACCACGTTAAAAATGCTAAATTGACAATTAATTATATATATATTTTTTTGTACAACAAAAAAGAAGTCCCGACTTTGCCAGTCTATATATTATACTATGTTTACAGTAAGAAGGATTTGAACGAATTTGATTTTGGAGCTGATCTTGTGTTAATGATCTTGAAATTGACATAAAATATTGGAATTCATTTCTTGCTAAATTGTCATGATTTCAAAGAGTGGGTCTGAATGTATAAAATAGCTTGAAAATGTTATCAATCTGACACTCTTTTATTGAAAACATTATTTAAAATTGATTCCTATGTATGAATGTGGTTGAATGAGGCAGTTTCATAGCAACACCAATATGTATTATTGTGCATGATACCGCAATCTTGATATCACATCTATGGAGTAATTATTTTGATAAAATATTTAAAATGAAGTTTCCAATGGAGTGCTAAACAGTTGATCATGTGACATAATCAGCCCTCTTTAAAAGCGTATTAGAGACATTAAGATGCGCATACGAGAACGGAACGAGAACGGATACGTCACTGCTTTGTGCATGACCTCCGCGCGAACCAATGACGTCATCGGTTGCCTGGTCGTTCGGCAGTCGTTTTGAACGTGATCAAGGTGACTGACTCGTAGTTGATTTCCGAGAGCTTTTCTCGCTGTCAATTTTGAATAATTTTCATTGACATTGATAAAACGTTTTATATTAGAGTGTTTTTGAATATTTATGATGAAATAAGAAATATTGGATGCATTTTAGCTGACATTTATACCCACTAAAAACGCATGATATTGATCTGCTGAAAGAGGATTCGGCAAACAGGCCTGGGACCTCAGCAGAGTGGATGGAAATAGCGAGAGCTCTGTCAAATGTCTGTGAACTAACTACTAATTCAGATTCCGGATGAGAAATGACATAACAAATGTTATTAGGTAGTTATTGTTGCCCAATGAGACGGATTGACATGGTTCTGGTTTCAGTTACGTTCCCGTTATGGGCGCTTGTACTTAATCGTTTTCTGACACCCGAGAACGTAACGCAAACGAAATTAGAACATCACGTTACGTTCCCGTTACGTACGCAAATCTTAAACTCTCTATTATCTAATTGTAAATTATTATCAATATCAACATGTATTCTAATACAGCCAAAACAAAGTCAGCTTGGATATTCAGTTGTGAGACATGACAAAATAAACGGTGCCAGCGATAGATTTCGCGAATGAAAGAACGAAATAAACGCAATCAAAGGCGCCGACCACGCGCGTTGGAAATAAATAGAACGCGTTGTGACGAGAAATTTCGCCTGCACCTGTCACTCACGCAAACGCACACACATGCTATTTCCGTATATTGAAATACGTTGGCAACGGAAGGGACAAGTTTAAATCATCTTTGTATTAACACAACTTTAAAGCAACAGTCTCACATTAAATATATGTTTATCAATTATTAAACTAAATATTCAATGAAGCAGACAGCTACGGTTAAGACGAAAAGACAAGACTAAGACGAAAAACATGTGACAGTAAGATTATGCTCGTCTACTACACGCCCGGGAACTACACGTTCAAGTATCCAACTTTCCATGATTAGTATCAGCAATAATTTCTAGTACTGCCTGGATAATTGCGTTTTATTAGTTGACATCAGACATATCCCTGTACAGAATTTTTTAACAATGTCTCAATTTCAGAATAAGTTGGGATGAATATGAATTGAATATCCATCTTTTGAAAAATCAGCTAAACAGTTTACCACCACGATTGTGTTGAATTGGCGAGTTATCAACGAAGACGACCGGACGTCTCCGGTCATGAGCTGGCTGGTTCGAATTTATCCACTTTTACAGTGATGAATATTGCGTTCGAGTTGAGTTACTAGTAATTACAAGCCTGATTTACATTTTTCTTGTGGTGTTTATCGTCAATGTATTAAATATAAGTGCGTTGGGAAATAGCATAATTATATTGCGTGAGTGAAAGACGCTGGTAAGACTGTGTCACAACGCGTTCTATTTATTTCCAACGCGCGTGGTCGGCGCCTCTGATTGCGTTCATTTTGTATTTTTATTTTCGAAATGTATCACTGCCTGCGTTTTTGTTTTGTTTTTTTGTTATGTCTCGCCACAGTCCCTCTACAAGGTTGTAGAGGGACTGTGGTCTCGCAACTGAACGTCCAAGCTGACCTTGTTTTGGCTGTAAGTGTTTTCAAAATTGTGAATTGGTTTTAAGGCTTAATTTATTGGCATTGTACCAATTAATCACCTCATTAAATTCCCCTTGGAAACGGTCGTGTGAATGGCCTATCCTCGGGGGCGGAGCTACGTCACAGGACGTTCCACGTTGCTTCGACGCGCACCACTGTACATGCATTTCTATGGGCTCTGTGCGCGCTGCTGTGAAACGCCGGTCGAGCCGGTGAAAATTCGAGAAAACAACACAAACTCAACTTTGAAGTAATCCCGAACAACCAAATTTATATATGTTACACACGTAGGGCTAATCTTGTTACACTGTTCAGAGGAGTCTCAACAGTCATTCCAAAGTACCGTTTTTTGCGAGTTTTGGGCCTTTGTTTTCACCGCCGCGGGTTGCCAGGCGGTGAAAATGCCCGGATGTCCGCGCCCGAGGATACTACATTATATGAGTCAAAAACATATTTGTCGCGTAAAATCGTATTCAAGTTCTCGAACACTATATGAACACAAAGGTGTATCAAATTCCTTAGACAATTTATGAAAAGAAAGACGTTTGACTTGAACACTCGAAAACATAATATTAATATGTCTATAAAGTCTGGCGATGATTGGTCGGGAAGAACTAGGTGTGCTTCAATCCATCTTGTGTATAATAATAATAATAATAATAATAATAATAATAATATTGCATCGCTGTATTATATACGGTTCATTCATAATGTTTGTATGCTTTCCCTTACGTAAGATAAGATAAAAATAGAGGAACACATTACGCGTACCGAAGCTCAAAAGTAAAGTTTGAATTTTTTTTAAATTGGCTATTATTGCGTCAAATTTACTCAAATGACAGTAACGTCATAAAAAAAAAATTTTGATTAGAAGCCATGGTGTCATACGAAAATAATTTCTTATAGGATTAAAAATCTAATGACGTGAAGTATCACACAATCATGTTATTCTGTTACCAGGATTATTATTATTAGGTATGTATTGTTTGGCACATATGTGTACAAAAAATTATAAAGAAACGGGAAAACGGTTGTATATGGCTGAGACATTGCACACGAGACGTTGAAATGCATTATGGGTAATTTCAAAATCATATATGTTATATTTTTTGGACAATTTTGGAATTCATTGTTAATCATTACGATAAAGGTTGTCGGTGATAATGGTTGGTAATATTCTACACCTGAAGAAAGCAATATTAATTGATCGATACTGATAGCATAATTATATATCAAGGTAGGAAGATTCTAAATTGTTTACGTGCGGCCATCATATCGTAAATATTCACAAACTTTCTATCTGTTTCAAAAATGCCTACGAACAGAGTAGAAAACATCCAGGTCATGCCCAGACGACAAAGTGGAGTGACTATACAAAGCTCTGATTCGCTGTTCTCAGAAAAACAACGATTCGACGAGGTGCTTCGCAATTCGGGTTCATCTCGGGTGTTTCAAATGGTTAAAATGATGGCTATCATACTGGTGCCGATTATCACGCTGATCGTGCAGTCAGGCTTGTCAGGAAAGGAAACCTTGGAGGACAGAGATGCGGCTGCCTTGTTGTACAAATCTGTTGATATTGACTTAATCATTAGTGCAGCAGTCATTAACCTGCAGAAGGAACGAGGGATCACCGCAATGTACTTGAGTTCAAATAGAAGTAATTTAAACGCACGTGATAGCCTTCTCTCCTTGTATCCTGATACCGATGCCAAATTGTTGGCTATGTTCACCTTGGAGTCGGGAAGCATGTGTGATGTCATTACCGCAGTCACAGGCTGTCGGGAGTTAAGCGACTTTATCAACGAACATAGACTAAAAGTGCTTCAATCATCAGTGCATCTTTCTATCGAAGACAATATTATATTTTATACGAGCATTAACGAAGCTTTAATGCAAAAAAACACAAACACGTTGCTTAAAGCCAAAGTCGATTGGCTTTGGTCGTACTTGGTTGCCAAATCGTCTTTATTAAGTGCAACAGACGTGATCGGTATCGAGAGAGCACTGGGAGCAACATATTATGCAAGTTGTTCGCCACTATCAACGTCCTCGTTGCGTTGGATGATGCAAGTACACTCCCAGGGACTGGCGCTAATGAGGGAAGCCTTCAGGTATTCGCCTACATTGGCGGACACGTTCTATACACGCGTGGAAGAGCACTATCCTCTGAACGTGTCACTGTCCATGATGACAAGCGAGGTTTTTCAAAATAGTGACCCTTGTCAGGAATACGGCGCTGTCATGTCTGCGACAATGGCGGACTATTGGTTTGGTAATATGACAGAATACATTGATATATTGGCAGGAGTGAGAGTACAGATATCCGCTAACATCATCAGGGAAGCGGAATTCATCATCGAAAGCGCCAGGACAAAACTGATTACGCACATTACTCTGATGGTCTGCATCACAATACTTTGCATTTCCTTGGGTTTTTGGTACGCATATAGTATATATCGGCTTCTTTCCTCACTAACAATGTACGGTAGTAAGATAACTAGCCAAACTCGACAACTATCCATGGAGAAAAAGAAGACAGACAGGTTGCTTTATCAGATGTTACCGAGGTCAGTGGCAGATCAACTTAAATCTAACAAATCAGTCAACGCAGAGTACTACCAGGACGTTACCATATATTTTAGTGATATCGTTGGATTTACAGCAATAGCCGCAGAGAGCACACCGATGGATGTAGTCCAACTTCTAAACGCTTTGTATAGGTAATACAACTTACGTTTATGATATTTTTCGGCACACATATACAGAACATACAGTTTTTCAAAAGTGTTGTGTGTAATGTATATTATATTACGGGAACAACATCATAATATAAGTATTAGGAAATGAACTGACCATACGCCAAGGATTGCAACATGAAATCAACTATTCACACAATTAATACAATTAATGGCCACACATACGAGTACAAAAAAAAATTCTAAAATTACATGAATAGAAATATGAGTCAAAATATAAATACAGAAATCATCAAAAATAAGAATACATAATTTAAATTTCACGAAAAAGATATTTGTGTACTTTCTTTCAATGATTCGTAAAAAATATGTAAAGTGTAAAACAGTTAAGCTTCCCGCGATCCAATTCAAGATTGTAAAATAGAAATTCACCTTTTCAATTTTAACTCATATATTGTCGATGTGAAAACATGGAACAACAAATTGGTTACATTCATCCTTGTACCTGGACTTTGCACTGAAACGTTTAATGAATTTCAAAGCATTGGCAACAGTATATTTATGCGTCTGAAACCAAACCTATAAAATAAAATGTTTATTTTACGTTATCATTGTTTTTTTCATTTGTTTGTGTTGTTTTTGATCACATTTACAATTTTATTTAAATATTATATTATCATTATTCTGTAATTCTTATACTAAAGTATACTAAATTTATTGCGTCCGTGTCTAATGTATATATTGGAATATCCTTATTCGGCCATTTGGCATTTTTTATATTTATTTATTTATTATTTTTAATATATATTTTTTATCTTTAGGACAATATCATATCATTCTTTCAGTAGTAGTTAATTATTGAACCGCTTTATTGACAATTGTATACTTATTCCAGATGCATAAGTCATTTTTTGGTAACTATTTGGTCACATGGTCAAATAATGACTTAATAATGGTGAAAGATTGTAAGAATAACCAAATAATGATAATATAATATTGTAAAAATGAAATAAATATGATCGACGAGAGACATTATTATGAAAAAAACTGTGATAATATAATATTGATATGCGATAATATTGTTATAATTGATAATTTGGAGATTTTGCCCTAATTAATTGACTAATCATTGTTCCCATCCTTGTTATACGGCATCGATTCTGGTCTGAATAATTTGGAATTATTTGCGCACTTAAATATGTTTTTCCTATCGACATATATTATTTGATAACTTCGCGGCAATGTTATAATATACCTCGAATATTTATGACCATCAACGGTGTATTATGATGAAATTGTTTACGCGGATCTGTTAACCGACTTATTTAGTTGATTACTAGCGAATTGCTGTGTTATGTCTGGCATTGTTTAGACCATTTGAGGTTCCGGACGGAACTTGGTTCAGTGATTTAGAACTAATTACGAGATAACCGTCGCTATTCGGACTACTATTTCTGACAGTTTAGTATTCGTAATTATTAATGCAGTGAACGATTAATCAAAAGATATGACGTATTCAGTGCTTAGTGTGATTGGCTTTATGATTGAAGGTTACGCCCTAGAGCCTTTTAACTGTTTTGTAATTGGTTAGAGTTTTGAAAATGAATAAAGTTGTTTTAGTTTGTCTTGGCGAGTACACGAGGAGAGACGCAGTCCAGTCCTGGAGAGTCTTGGGGCGAGCCTTGAGGTAGTCCAGTCTTGGGCTAGTCTTGGGTCAGTCTTGCGATAGTCTTGGGGATTTTTCCCCAGGGCGCTGTGTCTTATAGAGTGCTCGACTGACCGACTAAGAAGAGAGTTGAAACGTATTTTGTTGTGTGCGTCTATTTGACTGTAGTTTAGTGACTTTCCCGATCCCGTACCTCAAGGGGACGCGATATAGAGACGAGACGAGATCCCCCCCTGACAAGTGTGGAGAACCCGAGAGGAGAAGATATTCCCCCTGACAGTATGCTTACAGCGCGCTGGTCGCATGATTTAGAAACAGTCTTTTTTTAAATCATTACTGAAAAGAGAGTAACTAAACGCGCCTATTGTTAGCAACGCACTTAGTTTGTTAACAAATAATAACACAATCTTTGCATTTGAGAGTCATATTGAAATTATTACCCCAGGTGACTACATAGCTCATCAATATCTTTATGCATTTACACGTTAATGATATACATGTTAAGAATTTACATACAGCTATAATTGTACATTGATGTACAATACAATTAATTTATACTGGTGTTACTCGGGAAAGAATTCATCAATGGTCTATCAAATGACAGAAATAGTGTTCATGGAGAGACCGTTAGCTTTGCTGATTGACAAAGTCACATTCTGGGTTTCTTACAGTACCTTTGACGAGTGCATTGACCGATACGATGTTTACAAAGTAGAAACCATAGGCGATGCTTACATGGTTGTGTCTGGCTTACCAGGACGCACTGACCTGCATGCATGGGAGATTGCGAGTATGTCTCTGGACCTATTAGAAGAAGCTAAACATTTCATAGTTCCACATCTACCTAACGAAAAGTTGAGCCTTCGTATCGGCATTCATACGGGTAAGTTTGTAACACCCCGGTCAGAGACAGCAACTGTGAGTCCAATAATGTTGTCACGATTGTAGCATTTATAGCATTTTTAATAGTGATGTTGCAAAAACAGGATGTATTATTCATTTTTAAACGACGTCTACAATAATATAAAAGATTTACAATTATCATTAGCGGATTAGTAATGTTAAATTGGTAATTTGGTTACTACTAATAAAACAATTCTGAATAGTAAAATGGAAATATGTTTATTTATTTATCCAGCGTTACCAGTTTATTACGTGTATTGCACATGCCAAGATATGAAAGAAACTAATCTAATATTCGTATGTCTTTATGATAATACAGATATGTTGTTATCTTCTAACTACTACTATCTTTTTTAAAGGTCCATGTGTGGCGGGCGTGGTTGGGCTCAAAATGCCTCGTTTTTGTTTGTTCGGGGACACGGTTAACACGGCTGCTCGGATGGAATCAACAGGACAAGGTACAACTAGTGCAATTTTGTGATCTTATTCATATATATGTGTTCAACGTATGTATTGTGTGATGTTCAATGGTCCAGTGTACAGTCAGTTTATCGACACACTGTATATAGGTTAGATTTACCTCAAATATTTTATTAACTGTATAGAAATGAAGAGTGCGAGACCATCCATACAACATTGTCAACTCATATCTAGTAAAGGCTCAATTGAAATAAACTTCGTTTGCAAATCAATTTACTCTGTCGCTTACATGGCGGATCAATTTCATTTCACCGGATCAATCGATTCAATGTGATTGAAAACATACGAGGACTTCAGTTTTTCCATATTTGCCAATAACTGACGTCACTGTAGCTTATTAACAGCTCTTGCACATATTTACTTGCATTTTGTAAGTACCTTGTCAGTTCTAGTAAATTGTCACGATGAGGTCACACTTTTCTGGCATCATATGTTGACAGAGAAAACATATGATGTATGCATATATGGTCAATTACAAGACCTGTGTTGTTAGTGAAGGTTTTGTAAATAGAACTTTGGCGATCATTCCCGTTTACATGCGCTAATATTGATTGCATTCAAATGTAAGGCACTTATAGTTGTATCTCTATATTTTTCAGCTCTCAGGATTCATATAAGTGAAAGCACTAAAAAAGAATTATGCAGATATCCATTGTTTGTCATAGAACAACGCGGAACTATCGATATTAAGGTGAAGAATGTAGCTATATGTTTCAGCCATATATTGAATGTGTGACTCTGTACTAGTCGAATTTCTGGAAATTACGGTTTTACGGTCTGCGGGTTTAATGTAAATGTAATAGTATCAGGTCTTCAACTTAACTTAACAATTAAATTTATATTTGAAATTTTACTAATACTGTGTATGTCATCTCTATTGTGTTTTATCCCTCAGGGCAAAGGTTATATGCAGACATACTGGCTTAAGAAGAAAATAGAAACCGAAGGTCATCGTATTGAATGGGAAGAATAATTATAAAATATGAGAGCTCTTCAATGAAAAGCTTATTATATACAGTCACATCTTGCAATATGCAGAGAAATATTGTAATTCCAAACAACAACTCATGTCATATATTCAATTGCTACCTCATTTAAAAAGTGTACACAATCAAAGTCAAGATCAATGTCTCTCGATTCAATAATTTCTTCAATAAACAAAATACCTGAATATTATTTCTGAGTTGATTCACATTACCATTTTCCAGTATTTTGCTAGAATTACAGAAAATCAGCGTTTGTTTAAACCATGGTTATTCAGTAACGCCATATTGTACGGTGAAGATGGTCCTAAAGACACACAATCAACACGTCAAATTATTTGAAACATAGTATATATGTATATACAACCCGAGTTTTAAATAACCTAATGCACCTTATACCGACGTATTTTGATGCGGATGATCATTTTCATAAAAGATTAAAATCACAATAGTGTGACTCATATGTTACAAAACACGAACACGCATACCTTTTTTGTGCAATTTTGTCGGTCAACAATCATTTCATTGCGAAGATATAGTTCAGGGAACATTTCTCTGCATTTTTTGCGGGATCTTTCAATTTATTTATTTCGAGACACATTTGTACTTTTAAAATTGTCGAGAACGTCATATAATAAATTCGAGAAGCATTTATATATATATTCGCATATTCGAAGCATATTGTCGGAGAAGGAGATAACTTAACACAACTACTGGCCGTCAATTACTGAGATTCAACGGGTGACGGCGGCTTGACTCGAGGTGTCGACGGGAGTATGAAGTCGCGACTTTACATACTTTTCGGCCGTTCCCCTTTGAGATTAATCCATGCGGACATGTACGCTCTGATGTTGTCCAAAAAAGAAAACGTACTATAAATGAACCAATGTGTGTGCATGTTTTTTTCCATTTCCAATGCTTAAAGGGGAACAAAATAGAGCCTCATTTGGTGTTTGTATTTCTTAAGTTATGTATATTGATTATAATCAAGGACTTCTGTCCGCGCCATCTTGCCATAAAAAAAACGCCCGCATGAGGTATAAACAAGAAAAGCAACAAAGCATGATGACGAAATACTATCTGATTATACATAAACAACTTGTGCAAATTATTTCAAAGTCTGGATGCTGGAGTATGCAATCTTGAGTTCATAGGGTGATGGTGGGAAAATGTTCGTCCATGTATCCACTGAGCTTCACTGGCAGATCAATGGGACAATTGTCACAAAAACAGTTACACCAAGCAGATTGCTCACAGACTTCCTCTTAATTTGAAATAAAATTATCATCCGAACAAGGAGCATCGTCGACGTCAGATAGACTCACGCCACTCACATTGGACTAATCTGAATCTTCGCTAAGTTCACAGTCATAGTACTTCCCTGATCCTAAGTCCAGGGGCATGAACACGTAAAATCGTGACAAGTTAGTAGCGGGTTTATATTCGAGGACATAAGTATTTTGTTTTTTGGTTTAACATTGTAACTATCTTGCCACCCAGGAAAAATTATCAGCTGAATTATCCAAATTACATCTTTCGTTCACCACGTACACAAGTAATTTTCACCACGATGTTTTTCAGCACGATTTGACCTGAAACAACTTTTTTTGACCTAAAAGGTCATGTCTTTCATTAAAGTGCGGCAGTCGTCATTTGTGACATTTGCTCTTCTAATTCAAATCACAAGTATGAGATTTGACCTGGGCGCGACTTGCACTAATTACCTAATTATCTTCAGTAATAACTCACAAAACGAAGGCCCACAGCTTCAATGGAATGTAACATTTACAACTTGTAGACATAATCTGTGAAGAGGGATGGTCGCTTAATTAAACATTATCAGCGGAAATTGATTTTGGACAGTTAAAAGTAAGCAGCGTATATATTGTTTTGTTTTATTTCGATGCATTAAAATATACGAACAATGTCACTTTCCCAAACAACATTTTTTGGTCCTTGGCTTA